TTGTGGTTGTTGTGGTTTGTTGCCCTAGTCCGTGTAAAGAGTACCCACCCTAGAAGGTGTATTTTTACTTGAGTCCAAGTTAGGTTTTACCCCTTCTTGTTTTATGAACCCGTCCTAGAAGGTGGCCTTTAAACAGTTTGAGGTTGTTTGGGGGTTACAATTTAGCTAATTTTGTAAGTTGTAACTGTTATTCTTTGGTGTTGTTGGATTGATCTTTCGAAAAGATCCTAGCTACTTGTTATTAAATGGGTGAAAATTTGTTCATCTAGACCAAACTTGCCAAATGCCAGTGCGTGGTTGCTTCAATTGCTAGCTTTTGCATAATCTATCCCTATTTTCTCTCATTCCTTAATCATATGCCCCTATTTTTTCTTATTAGCCATTTCTCATACTTACTAACTTATGATTTTTGTTTTATTTTTTCTTTTTGTGTTTTTATAGATTCATATGTGAATTGAAGTTCAAGTTTAGCTTGAAGACTACATATTTAGCTCAAGTGGGAAGTTAGAAAGAATACATCCATTGTATTGGTATGAATTATAAACTTCTCTAAGCTATATATATTTCTTTCTCTTTATTGTTTTAATAAAAAAAATTTCATGCTATTACGACTTGTGTATTATTTAACGACAAATAAATACAACAATATATGAAATGCTTGCATCATCATATGCCTAGATACCCGTTCAAGGCTTTCTCATTAGGAGAAAGTCTTGAATAGTCCTCGGTTGAGACTGTTCTTGAACGTTTACTCTCACTTAGGTGGTGAATGTATGTCTATTTTTTCGATTTTAAGGAACATCTTGGCTTACCATTTCCTCACCATGTTCTGTGGGTACATATGTGGGTAAGTTATTACCTACATCGTGTACTTGGAGAACTGGGGGAAAATGCTGCCGGATTTTCCTTAAAATTGGAAAGTCGACATACATTTACTAGTGAGATTGAACGTTCAAGGATGGGTTAGGTTGGAGTGATAAGGACCCTTTGGAAGCATATATGCATTTTTGTATCTATATGAATGTTATATGCATGGTGTGTGTTTGAATTTGATTTACATATATAATAGATGTAGCAATTATACATTATTCGTAATATGTTGCCATGTTTAGAGACAATTTACTTAATGGAGAAGGATTGTGGCTAGATGTATGGTAGACGTGATACAATTGGAATTCTTTGATGGGGTTCAAGAGTTTTGCGAGTGGGCTTCATCTTATCAGCGCAAAATGGGTGTCAATTGGCACTATTGTCCTTGTGTTAATTGTAATAATGTGAAGGTGGTCAATAGTGTTGATATCATTAGAGATCATGTAGTTTGTCGTGGGTTTAGGCTTAAATACTTATGTGTGGATTTGGCACGATGAAGAAGGAGAGTACTGTGGAGATGTTGATGGGAATGATGTGCATGATGATAGAAGCAATGACATTCGTGTGGACAAGGAATACAGGAATGATGAACATATTATTGATCATGGTGATGAGGATGGAATTGAGGATGATCTAGTGAATGAGGTCGAGGATGAAGGGGTGGATGAGATGATGCGTGGTGTCGAAGGTAACGTGTTTGAGTCATTATCGGAGGCTTCTAAAAAGCCTTTGTATCCTGGGTGCAAGAAATACCCCAAACTATCAGCCGTGCTAACACTTTTTAACCTTAAGTCGAAGCATGGGTGGACGGACAGTAGTTTTACTTCTTTGTTGACCGCGTTAAGTAAATGTTGCCCTACGGGAATGAAATTCCTAAGTCTTACTATTACGCAAAGAAATATTATGAGTAAGTATGATTTCACTTGACAAGAAGTGTAGGAAATAGGCATCATAGTAGTCAAATAGGCCTTACTTAGGCCATTTTGGTTGAAAATGCGTCCTGAAACCCTTAAATTGCTAATTTCTCGTAATTACAAGCCTTTCCCACCCATAAGTTAGTGATCATGACATGTTATGAGTACGTATGAGTTCACTTGACAAGAAATGTAGGAAATAGGCATCATAGTGGTCAAATAGGCCTTACTTAGGCCATTTTGGTTGAAAATGCGTCCTGAAACCCTTAAATTGCTATTTTCTCGTAATTTCAAGCCTTAACCACCTATAAATAAGTGATAATGACATCTTATGAGTAAGTATGAGTAAACTCGACAAGAAATGTAGGAAATAGGCATCATAGTAGTCAAATAGGCCTTACTTGGGCCATTTTGGTTGAAAATGCGTCCTGAAACCCTTAAATTGCTATTTTCTCGTAATTTCAAGCCTTAACCACCTATAAATTAGCGATAATGACATGTTATGAGTAACTATGAGTTCACTTGACAAGAAGTGTAGGAAATAGGCATCATAATAGTCAAATAGGCCTTACTTGGGCCATTTTGGTTGAAAATGCGTCATGAAACCCTTAAATTGCTATTTTCTCGTAATTTCAAGCCTCAAACACCTATAAATAAGTGATAATGACATCTTATGAGTATGTATGAGTTCACTTGACAAGAAATGTAGGAAATAGGCATCATAGTAGTCAAATAGGCCTTACTTGGGCCATTTTGGTTGAAAATGCATCCTAAAACCTTTAAATTGCTCTTTCTTGTAATTTCAAGCCTTATCCACCTATAAATAAGTGATAATGACATGTTATGAGTAATTATGAGTTCACTTGACAAGAAATGTAGGAAATAGGCATCATAGTGGTCAAATAGGCCTTACTTAGGCCATTTTGGTTGAAAATGCGTCCTGAAAATTGTTATTTTCTCGTAATTTCAAGCCTTAACCACCTATAAATAAGTTGTAATGACATGTTATGAGTAAGTATGAGTTCACTTGACAAGAAGTGTAGGAAATAGGCATCATAGTAGTCAAATAGGTCACACTTGGGCCATTTTGGTTGAAAATGCGTCCTGAAACTCTTAAATTGCTATTTTCTCGTAATTTTAAGCCTTAACCACCTATAAATAAGTGATAATGACATGTTATGAGTAAGTATGAGTTCATTTGACAAGAAATGTAGGAAATAGGCATCATAGTAGTCAAATAGGCCTTACTTGGGCCATTTTGGTTGAAAATGCGTCCTGAAACCCTTAAATTGCTATTTTCTCGTAATTTCAAGCCTTAACCACCTATAAATAAATGATAATGCCATGTTATGAGTAAGTATGAGTTCACTTGACAAGAAGTGTAGGAAATAGGCATCATAGTAGTCAAATAGGTCACACTTGGGCCATTTTGGTTGAAAATGCGTCCTGAAACTCTTAAATTGCTATTTTCTCGTAATTTTAAGCCTTAACCACCTATAAATAAGTGATAATGACATGTTATGAGTAAGTATGAGTTCATTTGACAAGAAATGTAGGAAATAGGCATCATAGTAGTCAAATAGGCCTTACTTGGGCCATTTTGGTTGAAAATGCGTCCTGAAACCCTTAAATTGCTATTTTCTCGTAATTTCAAGCCTTAACCACCTATAAATAAATGATAATGCCATGTTATGAGTAAGTATGAGTTCACTTGACAAGATGTGTAGGAAATAGGCATCATAGTAGTCAAATAGGCCTTACTTGTAAATGTATTTTTACATGCACATATAACCTATGTAATTCACTCCTAACTTACGTTTTGTTTATTCCAAGTTTTGCAAGGGACAAACGGGACGTCCGAAACTTAATGAAGTTCGAGACTTATTGGCGTCCTTCATCACATTTAATTTGTAAATATTATTTCTGTTTGAACTTGTGTACTACGCACATTACTGATTAATGTTGTTTGTAATTATGACACTTTTTCCTAATTAGTATTATATTTTGGGATTGTTATCAATATTTATGTATTTTTATTTTTTCAATTATTATTATTAATATTATAATAATAATAATAATAATTATTATTAATATTATAATAATATAATTATTATTATTAATATTATAATAATAATAATAATTATTATTATTATTAATATTATAATAATAATAATTATTATTAATTATTGTTATCATAATATCCTAATGGTAGAATTAATGCAGGATGTACATGATCTCATTATTATTATATTTATTAGTATTAATATTATTATATATTATTGCCGGAAAAAAAAAAAACAAAAGCAGTTAAAGGCACCGGTTCACCGATGCCAATAGTATTGAAAATAAAAAAAAAATTTCGCGCCATAGTAGTTGACACCGGTTAACTGGTGCCAAGTAAAGCATTTAGCACCGGTTAACCGGTGCTTAATCATGTAGTTAGCACCGGTTAACCGGTGCTAAATGCCTTAGTTGGCACCGGTTTTGAACCGGTGCCAAATATTCATGGATTTGACATCCCTCAAATCCCCAACGGTTCAAAACCGGTGCAAAAAGGGGGTTTGAACCGTTGCCTTTTTACCTATTTCGTCTAGTGTTGTGTATTTGCCCCAATACTTGTATTGAGAGATGGAGTTTGGTTGTGAGCCTTTTCTTGTGCTATTAAATTAAATTTCTAACTTGGTAATAATGGTTTCGTTATTTCAATGATGTGGTTGCATTAGTTGTGGGAATATGCAGGTGATCCCAAGTACTTGTGCTCAATGCTTTCTCAAAAGATCGAAAGACAATTGAGTTAGAAACTCACTTCTTATTGTTGAAACTTTGTTGGCCTACCTAGTTCATTGAGTTTTGTTTAGAAATTTTTAGTGTTGTGGCTTTGAGAGAAGGCAATATCGAGTTCCTGTTTAATCACCTATAGTATGTTCGTGTTTCACCCAATTTGTTGATTAATTGGCTTGGTAGGTGTCGAATCCCACCTCCCCTCTTTCCCTTCGTAATCTCTTTAGTCAAATAGTTAATATATAAACTCTTCATTCAACTGGCCTAGCTTATTACAATTAGCACTTATCGGTGATTCCCTTTAGTCCTTGTGGAAGACTGACCCTTACTTATGATAAGGTTAGTGGTTAATTAGGTAGTTTGACTCAAGGATGTTTGCCCAACGACAAAATATCCCTTCCGTAAGCAAGATCATAATATACTTTGATACATATCTCTCGCACACTATCAAAAGGCATTAATTACTACAACACCACATTAGGTTTATCTCATGGTGAACTTATTTCATGACTACCTAACTTCTCTTCCTTTTCTTGTTGCTCCAAAGTGTCAAAAAGTGGAGTATTTTTAGTTTCTGGAAGCCACAAGCTCACTAATCCACTTAGAATAGATAATCCTCCGATCACCATAAATGAAAATGTAGTGCTTAATCGCCCAAGAACCACCAACAAAGGCGCCACCGCATCCCCTAGAACCAACGCTTGACGCATCAATGAAACAGCAAAGTTCCTCACATTTGTTGGAAATAGCTCAATGCAGTACACAAATGTAATATCGAAAGCAACCGATGCAGCCATGAATCCAAATCCTTCAATCCCTAGTTGTATCCAATTCCCTATAGTGCCTCCATTGCCTGCCAAAATTACAAAAACATTTAGTGATTTTGACCATACATCAATATACGCGTCTCCATATATTATAAGACTACCTCTTAGAAATTTGTTATCAAATTGGCACGTATGTCAATCAAAAATTTTCTTGCATGTTTTATGAAAAATATAAACCAATGAAAAAAAAAATTTATATTACATGTGTATGCAGTACTTTTCAATTCAAGGTATATTTAAGTAAATTGTTACTCCGTAGCAAGTTAACATGCATATCAGTATAGTTTCATTTAGAAATATATATTTTATTGTTGTTAAAAGTAAGATTTAATTTCAGTAGAATCTCTACATAACAAAAACTTATTAAACAATTATTGAGAGAATTGATGTACTAATTATCTATAAAAGAAAAATATACAAGTATATATATTATGTTGAACATGATATAATAAAATCATACCATTGGTGAAGATGATGCAAAGTAAACATGAACTCCCTGCAAGAATACACGAAAGTGAAAGCAGCAGGCGGCGATTCATGAAAACAAGAAGGAAGCTCCCTATAAAGACAGCAGGAATTTCCAACAATGCATTTATGGCAACACTCAAATACTTGGAAAAATTCAAGTTTTCGACGTTCAATTGAACTGCATAATACACATATCCAACCCCGAATCCTACTATCATTGCCTTCATGAAGGTTCAATGGGCACTCAAGAGGGGGGGGGGGGTGAATTGAGTGTTAAGTAATCGTTAGCGATTTTTGCTTCTTTTCGGATTATGTGTAAGGAACCAGTTGTGCTGGTTCCCTTATGCAGCGGAATAAAACAAAGCAATAAAGAACACAACAAATTTAACGAGGTTCAGCCAACTCAGGCCTACGTCCTCCTATCCTAAGTCCTTTATTAATCTACTCCGAAAAACAAAGACAAAGAACACTCTACTGTTTCCCTACTCCGGGAACCAGTCTACCCCACACTCTACTCCGAGTGTGCTCTCGACTTACACTCGTAAGCCCAATGTGTTTGAACTCACAAACACTCACCCAGCCTTTAACCCCTTTGTTAAAGACTCAATACAAGAATCAAGAACTCTCCTTTGATCTCACTTCTACGAAGCTAATTAAGAGAAAATGTTTTTGTACTAGAATGCTCTTGTATATGACTTGATGAATGGGATTAGTGCTTAAGTATATGCTCTCAAATAATTGCTCTTTTTAATCTCTGGAGAGGCACGCGAAATATGTGAAATAAGATGAGTTTATATAAGCTTAGATTCCTAAAACCTAGTTTCCTTAAATCACACAATCTTAGAGAATAAGATATATTGTAATTTTAGGAAAGTATTTATCTTATTTGATTTAATCACAAAGATAGAATCAATTAAGATAAATACTCCTAGTTTTTAGGTAACCAAGAATATTTCATCTTATTTCCAGCTGCACAAAATATTTTCAAAATAATCTTTTCGAAAAAATCTTTTTGTAAAATCTTTTTCCAAAACGGCAGCTCGAATATTTCGTACAGTGAACCTGGTTCCCCGACCTGGTTCCCTGAATTGAAACATGTTATGAAACCTGTTCCAACTTTGTACCAGATTTCATATCATACTTCAATATACTTTTAAGCACTTATATAACCCAAACATGCAAGCATACTACGGAGCATATTACATGAAAACCTAGATAACATATTAAAGCATAAATCGTCTTTTCTTCATGTAATCTTCAAGACTTGAATCTTCCTTGAATACTTCTATTATGAGCAAACAATCTTTCTTCGAAATATCTTCGAAAGGCTTCTATGCTCCAAGTCTTGGAATCAACTCAACTACTGCACATGTAACATGGTTAATGCACAATAAAGAGTATGTGACTGCTTTTCCGCATAGCAGTCAAGGAAACGGTTCATACTGGTTCCCCACCAGTACATAGCACATTTATCATCTAACTGTTTCCTGTATATAGATAAGTTAGTTCAATAGATAACTCATATAATCAATAACTTATCTAGGAAAACAGTGTTCTATTTTAGTTGGTTCCCCCAACTGTATTGAACACTTTCAAAGACCTGTTTCCCTTAGCTGTTTGTCATCATTCAAAACTATCCATCAAAACCTAAGGGACTCAACACTTCAACATCCTTATCCTTGCCCATTTACACTCCCACAGGCTTATATTTTTGCTAGGATCATTTTTCGAAAAACACGGGTCTGTTAGTTGAATGTTTGTAGGAAGAGTTCTCCCATTTCGAGTAGCTAACTTTGTCAAAATTGAGTGAGCTTCCGTTTTCCTTCCTCGTATTAGAAGCCAACGAGGTGATTCTAAAATAAAAGGGAGTACGACAATGGAGTATACGAAGACAACGATCGAAAGAACCCGATAGAGAGATCTCCAACAAGATTTTGTGTAGAATGCTATAAGAGGAAGGGAGAGGAACCCTAAAGTGAAGAAGAGAAAACCATATTGACCTACTTGACCACGCCATTTTCGACCAACAACTTCGGTTGCAAGGACTAAACAACATATTCCAATCCCGGACCGAGTTAAGCCATTGATGAAACGAAGAACGGCGTAAGTCCATATGTTTGGTGAGAAAGAGGTAAGGAGTGCAGTAATGGCGGTTAGCAAGCATGCTAGTATTAAGGTCTTCTTTCTTCCTAGGAATGAATCAGCTAAATGTCCGTATATTGCTGAACCTGCATTAGAAATTAATAAATGTAGCATTAGATGAATCATGGTGCCACCAATATAACAAAAATAAGAGAGTAGACAACAAAATTAAGAATTTTTACGTAAATAAACACATGAACATCTTGTATACTACAATGTGATATCAAATGCCTTAGTTCTATATATATATAAAGAGCCAAAGTAAATATATTTTTTTATGTTTAATTTGAAACAAGCCAAAGTTGATAATATCATATATTAAAAAAAATAATAAAATACATTGATATAGAAACTAAAATTCCAGACGAATTTAACATGATTTCACATTGATTACTGATTACTATGACTATTTTAAGTATATATATAATATATTTACCTAAAAGTAAGTATTAGATTTCATTTGTATTGAATTGTCTAAGACAATCAATAAAGAATGGAAGGGGTGTGTGCTTAAATGAAATAATACATGGGTCTTTTAATACAAAATATTATTATTATTATCTTTGATTTGTTTAAAATTTATTTTTTCCCTTGTCACTTAAAAAAAATCATATTTGTCTTTGTTGTATTAAACCACTAATAACACCATGATATAAGAAATTAATCATTTTACAAGAAATATTATAAGAAATCAATCATTTTTGCAAGAAATTTGTGTGATTTAACATGGTGAATGCGTTTAAGTTTAGAGGGAGAGAGTATGGGTTAGAGTGTCTTAATAAGGGGGGTTTCTCGAAGAAAATAAAATTTTTAAAAAAACACACATACACACAAGAATTAAGTGTGAAAAAAAAGTAATTGTTTAACGTACAAAAAGCTACTCCGTATGAACAAGAATAATGTACAAGTAGTACAACTAACAAAAAGGATCTATAGTGGATTAGTGGTTGTTTAGGTCCAATTCGATTTACCTAATTGGGCCGGCCCAAATGATTTAATTACAAAAGCCCAACGCAATGTTCAACTCTCCAAAAGCATGCTAAGTTAACAAGCCCAGTCAGCATGAAAAGCCCATCTGACTTCAAGGGCCCAATTCTCCTCTATTGAACACAGGTATAGAAACCATCAATTGTCTCCTCTTACATTCATTCACAATCACCCTCAAGCAATTAATTCTCTTGCATAGCATTTACTCTCAATTCACTGAACTGACTTTAGCATCGGAGGGGCCTTCCTCGTCAACCACCCCCGAGGCTAGTTTACGTGTGTTTGCTGTGCAGGAAACCCTCGGCCCAATCGTCACTTGGACCGAGACCAGTCTTTTTCCTTGAAAAGGGCCTGCTAAAAGTCCTATTGTTTTCACCCGAAACAATTTGGCGCCGTCTGTGGGGAGATACAAAAATCAAGCCAAAAATCAATCACTCTTAGCAAAAACATGACTAAGTGTGGCAAGAGCACCAAGAGTGCTAAGAAGAATGGTCCCGCCTCTTCAAAGAGGGACAGAGACCTGATTACGGTGAGGGAACATCGACCGATTTCACCATCACCGGAACCAGCTTCTTCTTCTTCAAAAGCTCCCCATTCTCTGGAAAGGGAAGCTTCGAGGGACTCTCCATCCCACCATACTCGCCAACCGTCAAGTTCGTCTAGGCGGAGTAGGTCCAATGCGAAGAGTCCTCCACCGCAAAGTCTGCACTCTTGGTCCCAGCCTAAGGAAACCCTCCTATCGGAGCCCTCTACGGAGGAAGTGGCAAGGGCCGTAGTGGTCTGTATGGAGTTCCTCAAAGCCCAAGAAGGACAACTCCCATTAACGCCCCACGAGTCTTCATCTCTTCGGCCGAGATATCTAAGAAGGAGAATCAGTCAAGTGGAGGAAGAACAAGTTCCATCCTACAAGGAGCTCGGGGAAAAGTGGCAAGAGGACACTTGGAGGACCGAGCAGGAAAGGAAAAAGAATCCTTATTTCTTTCACCGTTTCTAGACCCAGGACTCCATGAGCTTCCGGAGCAGCAATACCACCTCTACGTGGAAAGAGCCTGCTCGCCAAAGTGTCCATGAGCACTTAGGCTTGAGGGAGGTAGACGTGCGTAGCCGTCTCACCTTCCCAGATGGAACCAGGCCGTACCCCGAATTGTCTCGGCCAGGGACGAAAACCACTTCCACCTCTCTAAGAGGGAGAAGCGAGGTCCTTTCAGCCAAACAAAAAGGGAAGGTCGTAATGGTCCCTACAAATTCGCCCTTCCAAAGTTGGATATTGGAAGAGCATGTGCCGACGGTGAAAATAGCGACGCACATAACTTATGACGGTACTTCGGACCCAAAGGATCAGATTGCCTCTTACGAGGGGCACATGTATCTTAACCCCAGGTCCGAGGCTACCTGGTGTAAGTATTTTCCAACTACTCTCAAAGGTGTCGCACAATCGTGGATCCCCAAGGGAGTGAAAGAAGGCTCTATAACCGGTTGGAAAGACCTTTCCAACAAATTCAAGAGCAAGTTTTCTATGGCAAATCGCCGAGAGAAGACAACTGCAGGGCTGATGAGCTTGCAGCAAGCGGAGGATGAAAGCCTCCGAGACTATCTGACTCGCTTCAGCAACGAGTCATCCAAAATTACAAGTCTGGATCAGAACCTTGCTGTATTTGTACTACGAAATGGCTTGCAAGCTGGAAAGTTCCTTACCTTCATGGTCATGCATCCCCCGCAGAGCCTTGGAGGAAGCTTTGGACACCTCGGATAAGTTCATTTGAGCTGAAGAATGGAACAAGACAAAATCCCAGTCCCAATCCGGGGCTGGAAAAGCTAAAGGACTATTGTCCTAAGGCCAGTCATTGAGGAAAGGGAAGGCAAAGGCCTCAGAACTGCCCTCGGCTACTGAGCCAAAGAAAGAAAAGATCGCCCCTTACACGGGGAGATACAATTCTTACACTCCACTTACTCTTCCTCGTGCTAAAATCTATAGCACAACTAAAGACAAGGGGAGATTCAAGAAGCCTAGGCCACTTCCACCGTGGCATCAGCACAAAGGCAAAGATTGATGGTGCGAGTTCCACGAGTCCTCTAGACATCGCATCGAGGATTGACTACCAGATCGAAGATCTGGTTCAAAAGGGCTATCTGAAAAAATCCCTCGCGGATCGCCGCGAGGAGAAAAAAGCCAAGAAAGATTCTCGGCAAGATCTGGACTTTCTGCGGAAGAAAGACAAGCAACAGGACAAGGACAACCTTAACATTCTTGCCATTTCCGGAGGAACTTCTCGGAGTGCACTGAAACACCACTTGAGGGGTTTAACCCATCAAGTAAATCATGCTGAGTTCCGAGTTCCTCAGTCTCTGGTGTCGAATATCCTATTCATAGCCAAAGATTGCGGGGGGTGGTGTACCCTTATGATGACCCATTAGTGATCGTAATGGGCATTGCAAACCGCAACGTCTGGCGATCCCTCGTCGACGACGGTAACGGGGCGAATATCCTCTTTCGGGGAGCATTTGACTAGCTGAGATTGGAAGCCAGGCACCTAACTCTGGTACCCTACCATATATCCGGATTCAACAGCTCTCCATCATATCCCGACGGGAAGATCCTTCTTCTTGTCACCATCGGCAAAGGCCAAGCAGCACGGAGCACCATGGTCGAATTTTTGGTCGTGGATGTCCCGTCTTTGTACAACGTGATCATGGGGAGACCCCTCATTCACGACATTCAAGGAGTCATCTCAACGTACCACCAAATAATGATATACGTTTCGGACGAGGGACACTCCAAAAAAATAAAGGGCAGCCCGAAGGAGGCCCGAAGATGCAACCACCTCAAACCATCCAAGGGTCGCCGCGACGACCGGGATGATGAGGAGGAAAAAGAGCGGGACCATTGCACAAAGAAGCCTAAAGGCTTAAGTGCTTCGGACCAAGGAACCCCAGCAAAAGAAAAATCTTCGAGGGAGAAAAAGGTTGATTCCTCATCTGAGCCGAAGGACTCAGAGTATCAACCAAAGTCGAGGAAGCCTGCTGATATTGACAGCAGGCTTGAGCGAGAAGAGTCCAGCGCCCAAGCCATGGAGCTGGACAATCAAACTAAATTAATAGAGTTGACCGAAGGGAATTCTGAAAGATATGTCACCATTGGACTAGGACTTGATCCAAATGTTCGTGCTAAACTAATCTAACTCCTTCGGGACAACAAAGATGTGTTCGCGTTCTCGGCGGCAAAAATGCCCGGGATTGATCCGAACTTCATCTCTCATAAGCTTAATGTCGACCCGGCATGTCGGCCAATTAAGCAAAAGAAGCGGAATTATTTCGCCCAAAAGAACCAGGACATCGCAGCTGAAGTCAAAAAACTTCTGGATGCACGCAGGCTTTATTGAGCTTTGTTAATATCTAGAATGGTTGGCCAATGTGGTGATGGTTCAGAAGGCAAATGACACTTGGAGAATGTGCGTTGACTTCACAGATATGAATAGGGCTTGTCCGAAGGACTTCTATCCCTTGCCGAGGATCGATCAATTAGTCGACTCGATGAGTTGGCATGCTCTGCTCAGTTTTATGGACGCATTCTCGGGGTACCATCAGATCTTCATGCACCCCGACGACCGCGCAAAAACGGCCTTCGTTACAAGAGCCGGGGTGTACTATAAAATGATGCCCTTCGGATTGAAAAATGCGGGGGCAACTTATCAAAGGCTGGTTAATCAGGTTTTCGCCAAGCAAATGGGTTGTAACATAGAAGCTTATGTTGACGATTCGATCGTTAAAAGCAAAGAAGACACAAACCATGTCATGGACCTGGCCGAAATCTTCGCCACCCTTTGAAAGCATAAAATGAAGCTGAATTCGAAGAAGTGTGTCTTCGGCGTGAAGTCAGGCAAGTTCCTCGGCTTCATGGTCAGCAAAAGGGGGATTGATGCTAATCCTACCAAAGTTCAAGCAGATTTGGATCTATTCGAGCCGAAAACAAAGAGGGACGTTCAGCGTCTCACTGGAAGAATGGCTGCCCTTTCCAGGTTCATCTCTAGAGCCTCGGACAAGGGGTTTCCCTTCTTCAAAGAGCTTAAACTTCCAAAATCAAAAGGGCTCATCTGGGAAG